TGGGATTTTCCTTTGCAGGGATTGCAACGAGCGCCTTAATTTTGGTTGTAGACGGACTCCAGGCTCAACTTGTTGACTCGAGAGTTGTCCAATCTCACGTGTGTGACCTGGCCCTGTCTCGCTAGATGTCACTGAGACTGTTATAGCCTTCAGTCGGAGGAGGGGCTCATACGGTTCCAGCAAGGTGACCTCGCAGAGAAAGATGAAGAGTGGCATCATCTCGTCCCTTCCGAAGCACGCGAATCTCTCGGGAAACGAGAAGTGGAACGGCAATCCGTGCTCTTCGAGGTATTCATGTCGGAGCGGAACTATGTCGCTGACCTCAAGCTTATCAAGGAGGTGGTGTAATAATCATTGCCTTTCTCTTCCTCTAACTCATGTACAGCAAAGGTTTTTGTCGAGCCTCTTACCACTTCGGTCTCGCAATCAATACTAGGCGATGCAAACAGACAACAGAACTTCATATCCACCGTATTTTGGAATCTAGATCAAATTTGCAGACGTCACGAACATATGCTCGAGGACTTGTTCGAAAGGCAGCGGGAACAGCACCCTCTCGTCCAAAGTGTTGCCGATATCATCCTTGAAGGTATGCCCACTCCCTTGTACAAGTTTCTTGAAATATGGCTCAACGTTCATCAGCCACCTTTCAATTCCAGGAAGACTACGAATCTTACATTAAACATTACCCCCTTGCAGAGCAACGGCACCGCACCGAACTCAAATACAACAAACGCTATCAGGAATTCATGCAAGAATGTTCGCAAGATCCACGAGTCAGAAAGCGAGACTTGATCACATTTCTCTCGCGACCCGTAACACGTCTTCCGCGCCTCAATCTTATTCTTGAACATCTTCACAAACTGACCGACGCCAATCACCCAGACTCTGAAGATCTCCCTGTAATCTTATCCATCCTGAACGACTTCCTGAAGAGTACCCAACCCGGAATCGAAGCCGCGGAAAATAAAGTAAAGTTTTGGGATTTATCTGAAAGCCTGGTATTCAACAAAGGAGAAATTATTGTAGTGTATTTTGTTCTCGCCCCTTCAACTACGCTGATACCCTATTTTAGGAACTGGACTGGTATAGTGATACCCGCTCGCTCATTTATGCCGGCGCATTGGTTCGCAGGTCCAAATCTGAAATGGATTGGAACCCTTGGTTTGAGCTCTATGTAGCACTACTAGACAACTTTTGTAGGTATTTTCCCAGGCAAAATTGTTCTTTTTTGCTAATCACGCTGCAGTGCTGATAACGAAGGAAGAGAAACGGGGAGGTGTAACGAAGCGCCTGGTTGTGTGTCGGGTACGCAAATTCTGTGGTCTTAATAAGAAGTCCATTTATAGATGACGTGTCTAGCCTATTCCATTGGAATACCTCAGGCTCGGTAGCTTCGAAGATCTTTCTGAGAGCAGAAAGGAGCGCGTCGAAGAAGGTGGCATATTAGACAGTTTGCGAGGGGCTTATCGCTCGATCTACCCGTTCACAATCTACCACGCCGTCGAGAAGTCCACCCGGCGATACACACTATACGCTCCATCCGAAGCCATCAGGAAGAATTGGTATGATGCTCTGGTACATGCAAAAGGAGTGGACGATGTCAGACGTGAGGCAAATCAGGTAACGAAACAGTTTTCAGCTCAAATCCTTTGCTTAGGCTATAGCCAATAGTGGTTCGTGCCTCAAGTCGTAGAGGACGGTGCCTTTCGGGTTCCGGGGACCAGAATGGCCCGACAAGCGGCGTCGAAGAGGCCGCCATCTGGTCGAGTGTTCCAGGCAGTGTCGTTTGGTACGTTCCAATCGATCGGAGTAGTCATGATCTCCTGACGGTCTTCAGTCGCCAGCGGCGGGAAAACTTTCATGGCAGTAGGCTGCTCAACAGGCATCTTCGTGGGTCGCAGAGGCGAAAGTAAGCATCTTCAGTTGTCTTTCCAAGGCTACGATCTACTCGCAGCTATCGTTAGATTATCGGAAAATACTGGCTTTCGAGAATGCCAAGAGCATCATTGTGCTTCAGGACTTTAACAAGATAATCATCCACCATGACAATTATCTTCTATCCTATTCGCTTGAAGTATTCGCACGAGTTGCTCAGTACCAGGCGCCGGCAAGTAGTCTGGACGCGTCTCTTGAAACCATTGCCGGCCAAGCCGGCAGCGTTCTTTGCTGCCAGGCTGGACAGATGGGGGACAGGACAATCCGTAACACTCCTCTCCTTCCACGTTGACTCGATCTGAAAGATATTGTTTCCAGTTGTTTATGCCGTCAAGAACTTCTTACAAGTTACTGTCCAGGCGGTGGAGGCTTGTTACCCTTCTGAAATTCGCTCGGCGTCACCTCGGGCTATGCAGACTGGCTTACTTTCTTTCCGGCCTTATGGTGAAGTATGAGGTTTTTTCTTTATTGGTGTATGAAATACTGACGGTGATTGGCGTTCCGCTACAAAAAGGCCTTGTATGTACCCAAGGACGTATTCGCTGTTATGCCTTTGGCCAAGACACTCGCGATTTGTACGGAACGTGGTGTCGTGATCGCCAACCCAAGCAGGTATGTAGTACCGAGTCCGCCGTGCCATAGCTCGCCTCCCATGTTACTCCAGTGCCTCTACGTCTGTCGTTACCATCGTCCCAGACTTTGGTACTAGTAGCGCTTCCAACAATTCCGCAACAGCAGATCTCAAAGTTCGATGTGAAGCTGCCAAGCCTCTTGGACTAGTCAGGCACGACGCAACAGAACTCATGGTCATCTACGATAGTGAGTGACATCGCAATTGCGATTTTGCTGAACCCAACTCGAGGTCGCTTTTCAGCAATGGGTTGCTATATCACCAAATACGGTCAGCCTACGCGTGACTCCGCGTTCATCCGCTGGGAGATCAAAGCCACTTCTTTCGTACACCGCCCCCCTCACGTTCTCCTTTTCTCATCGGAATTCGTTGAAATCAGGGATGCGCAGACAGGGCTGCTCAAGCAAGTGATCGAGGCCGTCGATATACGTCTCCTTATCCAAGCCCCCCTCTCCCACGGACCTTTGTTTGTCGCGATGCGGGGCCAAAAAGACGATGAAGACGGGTTGAGTGATCGGATCGTCGAGCTTGTAGAAACTGCGGAAATTACGCCGAAAACCCCAATTGCAGGACCGTTTAAATCCGCGGAAGGGATGTGGGATGAGTGGGACATGTGATGACTACGTGCAACGACAGGTTACCTTAGATATATGGACAGCAATTCGGAGATACGGATATTGTTTACTTTATGCCTCATAATTCGGGGAGGTGTATGTGCAAGTACGGATAATACAACGGAGCTCATTCTCGACTTTGACTAAACGTTGTGCACGATTTAACCATTGACTTGGATGCTTTTTTTATACTACTATCTGGTCGGGACCCGGCACAGCAGGTTCCACGTCCCGCATAAAGACCATTTCAGCGTACTGTTTCGCAAAGTGGACGGCAATGATGAATGGTGGTAAGGCGCACGCCAAAAGGACGGCAGCCGCAACGGCGGGCGACTGCACAACAGTCACGAACTCGAAGACAACCATACAGAATATACCGAGAAGGGGGATGACATGGAGAAATCCAGACAGGGTAGGACTACTCTAGGGGCAAAATTAGAACATGAAAGAAAGAAAAGAAAACAGGCCGGAAGAAAGCGCTTACTTGAAGAAAACGGGTGTTGATAGCGATATGAAGGTTAATGGTATAAACAAGAAGCGCCAGCGTCGTCGCACCCAACGCATGCGATGCTGAAATCGCATGGACGCTGTAGCCGCACGCTGTTAGCAACTCACAGATACAATCGAGAAACGACTAACGTGAGGAACGTCATGAGCTGTTCAATACACATTTCAGTTCTGGGTGACGACAGCAAACGCGCAATATATACCAAGTTTAATGAGATTTTCCTCAAGTCCTCAAGCTCTCTCGTGAGCTCGACGAAGAAGGGGGGCTCATCCCCTGAGATGGTTCGGAGTGAGCGTACCAGCTCGCGAAAGGGTGCGGTATTGCGGAACGTCATAGGGAAAGTAAAGACTGTGCATAAGCGGTCACACACCAATATATAGGAAGGAGGCAGATCGAACGCAAATTTACGTGGGGAATCCTTGAGCGGGGCTGCGGATTTGGGGATAGCACGGTGGTACACAAAGAGGCGTGTATGCCATCTCCTAGGACATTCGGCGTACTGCAAAAGGGGTGAGTAGATCCGCCAAGTTTTGGACCCGGGAAAAGTCGCCAGTCTAGACCTTCAAGGTAACTGCGCAGTGCGAACCTTGCCCGTCCCAAAATATGAGTCTCGAACGCAGTCGAAGCTAACTGCGTCTGATAAGAAGGGTTGAAGAACACTGACTGGTAATTAGTACGTGGAGTTCATGCGGGGCAGTTTGGAAAACCGGCGTCATCATCCACCTAGGGGAAGATTGCCGGAGGTCTGGACAATTCTACCGGCAGCCATGGCTACCTGCTGTGCGTTGCAGTGGTGGTGGCGGCTGGTCTGGATTCGTTCGAATAAACGGCAAGGGCCTCGAACGTCAAGCGCTAGCGCCTACAGGAACCACAGGAACCGACCAGCGTCAGAGGTCTAGACCCCGTAGCCTACTAATTTGAAGGAGGAATGTCAAAGAAGAAAGGGAAATGCCACTGTATCTTCTACTTGAACTCTCAATGCATCGCAATCTAAATGGGGCCGATTCCAGAGGATTATAGTTATCCATCTCTTGACTAGATGATCAGCACAGCGGCTAGACCGTCAGCGGCCACGCAGCAGTTGCGGGGCGGTGTTCTGTGGAAGCATGTGAGCATGTTATTCGAGGCATTGGGGTTAGAGAGGTTTTGACGCAAAGCGGACGAGTACCTGCCACGTTCAGAGATGATATATGTACTCAATCCACTCACCCGTGCATTGGTTGCTGGCAGTAGCGCTACTACTCCCATTGACAATCGAGTTAGGCAGGCAGTACAATTGTATGACAGGAAAAAAAGCCAAAAACCAATTGGCCCACCGCGAGAGTCGAACTCGCTGCCACATGCAATACTGCGTGTTACTCTAACCGTTGAGCTAGGCGGGCATGACAGTCTCAGTGATCCCGCATCAAGTAATGATGGCAATCCTTCGTTTAGGCTCACGTGACCAATTTTGTTTGGTGGCTTGTTTTGCCGACATGCGAATCAAATGTTGCGTCCTCGATATTCATGTCCTTTACAGTATCGGTGAGCTCAGTATTACCACTAACTTCTTGTCTCTGAAAATTTTCATTTCTGCCTCCAGTTACCACGTTAATTTTCTGAACGTAATCAATCACTCGGTGCTAGATTATCAAGTGTCCGCGGCTCACATTTCATCAGATGAATCAATCCTCTCTTCACTCAGATGAGGACCAGGATTCACTCTTCGGCTCGCCTCCTCCATCCCCAGCCAGAGGTAGGTCACCATCCCAGGAGACCTTCATCGCAGGGGCAGAAATCGGCTCCACCATCGCCGTCCCGAGTACGGGAGTGGGCAAAAAAAATGTGGGGACCATTGCACTTCCTGGTTCCCATATGTCATGTGCTGAACTACCAGCCAATCTCCCAGCTTCGAGCTTGTCACTTCCCCGTCCTACCTCAAGTCATGATTCGTCGAGCATCGCACCCCTCAGCATAGCTGGGAAGCCTCCCTCACTTCACACACCGATAGTGACATCCTGGTCCTCCACCCGCTCCGTTCCTTCCAGGGCATCCTCTGCGGTTAGCACCGTCCCTTCTGCTTCTGCTTCCACCAGGAAGCGAAGGACGCCGAAATCAAAGCCTCTAACGCCAATTTCACCCACACCACCCATCACCTTGCCGGGACCAAATGAACCAACTCCACCGAATTTCCTTCGTTCTCAGTCCTCATTGCTTGGTCTTGCGGGTCTGGTAGGTTCTGTTAAGCCTGCACAGCTATACATCCACGGTCCCCAGCCCACTCCCGTCCAACATTTCCGTTTACATTCACCAATTCATGGTTCGACACCAACCCATCCGATCGTACTTGATGATGACCTGGACACTCCTCCCATCGGAAAACAACCTCGCGATCAACTCCAGATGCCACAACACCTAGATCAACTTGATCCAGAGATATTACGCTCAAATATTATGTACTCTCTCACGAAAGAAAAGAATATCTTCCCTGTCCTCGAGTCCTTGATCAAGCTTCTCGGAGGGGAACCACACCTTCCCTCTACGAATCCTCCACCTCAATCATTTGCGCGGCCTTATGGTCATGGCATCTTTTATACGCAACCTTCTTCCCCCGCAGTTTCGCGTTCTTCTCCCTTCTCAACAACAACTCCAGCCGCTCCACCCCAAAAACGTCGAAAGCTCAAACACGTGCCTGCTGGAGCTGCTGATTGGGACGTCCCCTTCCCATTCGCAGCTGGTGAGGGTCCCGAGGCGTATCGTGATACTTGGGCTCGAGATAGAGCGAAACAACTCGTAACACAATTGCTGGAACTTATACAACATGCTGCAAACAGGGCTGCCATCAAAACTGCGAAGAGCGGAGGAAAGGCCTCCAAGGGACGGACTAGGGCTCGAAGTTGTCAGTCATCCAGAAGTGCATCTGTCGAGACGCAGACTGGACAGATCGGCTCGTCGCAAGCCAGCGTCCGTGAATCACCATTGTACACCAGCCCGAATGCGGAAGTTGCCGTGTCTGGGACGCCAACGGACAGCCTGGGTCATTATTTAGGCTTGTTGGAAGCACCTAGCACGGTTGGTTCGACATCTTCTGGTTCCAATGATGGAATGTCTCTGGATTCGGAAGGCGCCGTTGAGGGTTCGGCGGTATCCTGTGATTACTCAGCATTCGAAGAGTGGTTGTCCCAACTCCAACAGTTCGTACCACTTGAAACCAATACACCAACTCCAGAGTCAGACTGGGGTACTCGCCAATCGGTACCCTTGGGCTCTTCAGCCGCTAGCCCCGCGCCGGAAATACATGACCCAACGCAGCATGGGATACGAGATGAAGCCATCGATCCCACCTTGTTTGGGAAATCTCAACAGTATGGATCAGCACCTTCATCCCAGTCACCAACTCTACCAACATCCTCACTCCGGCCGGGCGATATCCCCCATGTCCTAGACTTTCCAACCACACCTGTGCTTGCACACTCTCCGCGCACTTCGCTGAGCTCCCTCACGGAGCCACTTGCACCGCTTTCTGAAGCCTTTGCCGATGTACCGACAAGTACGATCACCCATCAAGACCTCGTTCGCGGTATGTACATGCATTCCTTGACCACGCCAGGTCGTCCTTACAAATCTTACTTTTAGACCCCCTTACCCATCAACCTGTCGAAACGGACCGTCCCTCGGGGCCTGCAAAGGTCTCTTCTGCGACGGAACCCAGCGAGCCTCCTCGCATCGCCACAGCACAGAAAGGAAAGGCGCGGGCTGATGGGAGTGTCGCTTTTACCCCCTCCATGTCGAGCCGATCTACTCCCAGCGTGGTCCCTACATCCAGAGGCATGCTCGACAAGCAGGCGATCCTCGAGCGTGCGCAAGAGAGGCGGAGACAGCTCGCTGCAGAAATCGAGCGAGCAAAGCTGGAAATATGGGAAACGACTCTGGAGAATGCGGTGTTGGTACACTTGACGAGGGATGGGTCATCAATGTGATCTTGCTTCTATACATACACACTTCACGTGAGTAGGCCGAGTGCTGAACTATTAAACATTAAACCAGGGTAAGAGAGATTCGACAAGTCATGGTTAACAACATGGTTCATATTCACTTGCTTTACATAGATAGTACATACACGGCATGAACGACACCCATTATAATTATCCATCACCCGTTAACAGAAAATCGCCGATTTGAGCTTTCGCTTGGACGGCTTGCACGACTTCCCCTTCTGCCCTTGCTTGCTGACCATCTTCACCCACTCATCCCAGTGCTTCGTGTGCGTATACCATGCGCCTGTCCCGAGTGCCTCAAGCCTCTCCTGCTCGCTCAAAAAATCTTGAATCTCCACTGCCATCTCCTTTGCCTTTCCCCTCGCACGCTGTGCCCGATGCGCGAGACCCTCCGCCATGTCCCGAGCCACCCCTTTGGAGAATTGAGCGCTGGCGGCGACCGCCTCCGAGGCGTCATAAAGCCACTTCGTCCCCATCTCCCTAATCTCCCTGGCACGTTTCCGAGCGCGCTCATTGCGCACGTGTATCGTCTCCTTGATCGCCTCAAAGGACTCCACGCTCTTCTCCCAGTGATTCGTGGTCTGCTCCATGAACGTCGTCGCCTGCGCGAGGATGATCTGAGTCTGTCTGGATATCGCTTGGACGAGGGCATCGAGGGCATCAAATATGTCCTGCATGTCCATGTCCTTGTTCATGATCGAATAGGCAACAGTGGCACATTCCTTGACAACGCTGGAAACGGACGTGTGCACCAGGGCGGAAACCACGTGTCCCGTAGCGACCGGACCGGGATGATAAGAAGCGGTGGGACTGGTCTCTGGTATCACAGAAAGCGCTTTTGGCCGATTGTCTGGCGGAAGGACAGAACTAGGAGGTTGCAACATGAGGTCTTTAGATAACTTGGAGCGTTCCGACAGCGGTGACGGAGTCACACGCCGGAAAGTGGAGGGGTTGACATGCGATAGCGCTATTGATGTGGACTCCGCGCTGAAAACTGACAGCGAAAAGTCTTTGAATGAAGAAGGTATGGCCACGACCGAACTGTCAAACGTTGCGGAGGGAGGAAGGCGCTCTCGAACGGGCGCTGGTCGAAGCATTTGCCAAAACGAGCCGGAGGTGTGATTGGGATTAAGAGTCGCAAGGGTAGGAGAAGTGAATTGCTGAAGGGAGATCGGAATAGCGGCCCGAACGACTATTCCAAGGACTAGAGAGAGAATTGCAATGCTGCGGATTCCCATGAGTCAGTCTCGGAGAATTTAGTGGCAAGGAACCCTACATCGTCAGAGCATGTGTACTGGCCATTATGCCCTTGGACGGGTTATTGTCCCCAGACCACAGGCGAGAAAAGGCTTGATAAGCACGTGACGAGTCTATTGTGTCGATTGAATCCTTGTCAACCACCACGGGGTCCTCTGGCGCAGTGATCCGGAGTAACTGATGATCGGGAAGGCTGAGCGTAGCCCGAGAACTTGGCTGAAGCAAGCTGAGATCAGGAAGTTCGCTATAGTATGATGAAACTAGAATCGGTAAGCGTAGCACGTGTTCGGGGAGATGCGGTGGACTACAGGGCATGAAGACAATGGCGAGAGGACGAACGCGTGAAAAGTTCATCAAAGCCAGCTGGATGAAGTTGCAGTCAGTTCACTGTTGAAAAGTATGCAAGACCTACATCATCGACTGTGTCGTGCGGATAGCGAGTCCTGTCGAGGACAGTAATGATACGGGGGAATGCACGGTCATGCTCGAAGGAACCAGAAACAGTCAACCGACGTATAGACCCTTGTAAATTGTCGAGGTCGTCGCTGATGGTGAGTCGAGCACCATGCACGACCTTCTGCAAGAGCCTGTTGACTATGGACCACTTGAAAATGGTGGAGAAACCATAGAGGAAAACTTTGAGTTCGGCCCCAGATGGAGAAGGGGCTGATGTTGCCTGCGGCTGGGTTGAGAGCACTTGCGAGGCGGAAAGCATATCTTCGTCGTCAGCTTGGCGCGCGTCTGAAGGAACATCCGAATCGGTGGGAGAGGAGAGGATGTCAGAGTTGCGTTGAATCTCTTCGTAAGATGTGCTAAGCTCTCTACATGAACTAGTGATGGGATCCGGAAAGGATAAGCGGAGATCTCGTGACGAAGTATGGACGGTAGAAGCATGAAGGGAGCTGGAGCGCGACGAGCTGAGGGTACTAATCATGCTTTGATCGAGGCCCTCGTTGACACGTAGCTCCTCGGGAGAGGCTTCTTGAGTAGGATTCGAGTCAAGTGTGGCAGGGTGCTGGGAAGGGGATGGCACGTGGGAGTTCGGCGCAAGGACGTCATTGGGCATGCCCTCGTCGGCGCTGTCGTCAATCAAGCCTTCCCAGGCGTCAACGTCACCATCGCGAGAGCTGCTATAGCTCAAAGAGGAC